GTAGTATATATTATATATATATATATATATATATATATATGTGTGTGTGTGTGTACACATTATTTTGCTTAGAGGAAACCATTATTAATTTTTTCAAATTTTATATTAGAAATCCACGTGTTTTTTGGTCTCTACCAGTTTTCAATGAATACCTGAAACAGCCATTTCAATTTGGCACTTAGAAAGCGATACCAAGGCTAGGTTTGCATGGTAATAGTCAAACGTAACTACTTATCAGATCTTCAGCTGGCTACTTTCATTATACACTTGGATTGGGCATGGATTAAAATATTTGTAGGTGCAACCATTTATTAAATTCTGTCCTCCAGCTATTTCAATGAAAGGGTGTTAAATTAGTAATATATTCTGTGTTTTAATGATTTTTACTATTATCTGTACAATTATATAGTTTGTTTTAAACAGTGACTTTTTTTTGGCTTGGAGAAACTGTGTAGTATGCAAGTTTTCTTCAAATGTATTTATGATGGAAGAAAAGCTAACCTTTAGAACACTCAATTTTGTTACAATAAATTTTTAAAACGTTAAAATATCTAAAAGAAATATTTAATTTCACTCTGGTTATCAGGTCAGACAATAGTTGTGGTATTTCTTTTGTTACTGTAAACTTTTATTTAATAAACCTGACAAACTATGGAAAAAAAATCATTTTATTGTTTCTATTATCTTCTCAGTAATTTAATTAGTACACAGAAAAATAGGCTCTGAAGAGTAGTTACTTATGCCGTAAATGGTGGTAAGACTGAATACATGTATTACATTCATTAACTCTCAACTATTTTACAGATACTAGATGTCCCATTGTTGAATTTTGATTTGGATACTTAATAAAAAAATAAACTGGTGACAGCCTTAACAAATTTTGTTTTGATGTTACAGTAATCATTATTCCATGTATTCATTTTGTTCGTGTTTCTGAAATCTATTAATGGTCCAATGTTCACATACGACGTTAGAGGTAATTGAACCGTATTTATAAGATTCTTTTAAATATTTCTAACGAGAAAATTGTCAGCTAATCTAAGTATATATATATATATATATATACACACACAAATTATTCTGTTATTTGTTGTGATAAACCAAAGAGAAAAAAAGAAACATTTGTGAAAGGGAGATTGAGGTGTTCTAGATAGTTGTGTTTAAGGGATTACTCCTGGTGCTATGTATGTAGAATGATAATATGCTTGATTAGCTGATTACCAGACACTTCTTTCAGGCCTGATTGATTTGTAACCCGACGGCTGTTTCAATAACAAAAAGGTAACTTAAAACCATACAAGTATATTGGCAATAATTAGGTAAAGTTGTACTCTGACGATGTTTAGCAGCTGAATAAAACCAACCAATTTTTGACTGTTTGTTCAAACCCCCAGCCCCAGTTGCATTGTCTATGTTTTATCCACTGGGTCTGGTAACACGGACTCTGGTGCCACCTTAATAAAATAAGTCACAAGACTTCGTTGTGTGTTTGTTCTTCATCATGCAATATTATCAGATTGACTGGCATCCTCGTCTGTAAGTTAACAACATTTACGTAATCACACCCGAATGAAATATGTTACAACTCAGTGTCTGAATGGCAATGTTGTATGAGTTAACATTTACAGAACCACATTCTAATCAAGTAAATCACACTACTGTAGGAATGAACATCTATAAGTTAAATTTATAGAACTACATGTTAGTCATGCGAGTTAAAAACATCGACTGGCATCATCTTGTAGATATTAACATTGACCATAGTATAGAAATTAATATCCACAGTCCTATTCTGAAGTCAAAGTGGTGATGATCATAATAACACGGAATATGGCTGAGCACTGTTGTGCTTAGTATTTAAAGATGGACGAGATAAAACTGGCTAAAGTTGAGTTACAGCCTTATTTGAGTGCCTAATTGGCATTACTGAGTGTTTCACAACTTGTATAACAGTAATATTATTCTCTTCTTCTACCACACATATTTTTGTGGGGAAATAATGAAAAGGAAAACTACAACTTTGCAATGAGTTCAGTTTAGAAGCATATATTATTTCCATTTTTCATAAATAACAGTTTAATTTCTGGTCACTGGATGGCAGCACAAATTGTTATTGTATAACAGATGATATTTCGTTGCACAAACATACCTGCCAAAACAATTTCAACAAACACAAAGAAAGAATAATCTAAATTAATATTCAAGGTATCAAGATCAAGTATTTATGCAACTGACAGATCTGTGTACATGTTATTGATGTTTAAAACCACCAGTTTCTTAATTATCAAAACAATACATTATGTAGCAATCTATTTTTTCTTCAAATTTTCAGAGGGTCTGAGTCTATCAGTTGTGTATATGTATACGTAGTATCATACATCATGGCCTGGGATTTGTATTATGTTTTCCCTATTAAATGATATGGCCCTAGCATATGGTGGAGTCGATTGTATGCACATGCAGTGAGTTGGGGTGAAGTTGGAAGGCGTGAGTTCTATAAATATTCAGTGCTCATTAATATGTACTTGCAGGGTAGGGCAAAAGTCTATATAGTTGATATTACGAAAACAATAGAAACCTATTGTTACGACAGCGGAAGTCACGTGACTCTGGTAACACTTGATGAATTTCACAAATGATCATGAATTATCGGGAAGACCGAGTTTGTTTGAGACGACCTCTTTTTTTTAGTATATAAGTCTGCGGGATTGAATGAGGAGAGTTCTGGGTAATTTACGATTCTGTTTCGAGCTAGTGCTTAGCACTCGTAGAAAGCGAAGTTATCGAGGTTGTGAATCACTGTGATTTATAGCGTGTATTATAAAAGTTGTTGAGTTTAAAGTGACGAGAAACTTGCTGACTGTGGAATTACTGTGTGCTAAAAGTTTGTCTCGAGGAAGAATAAACTGGTTTAATCAAGAAAGGACTTGTATCACTGAAGTTCCTCGGAAAGAATTTCTACCGGAAATTATCAAACAAGCAGATACGCAACACTATTGAATTTTTGTTTGTTCTTTCGGGTAAGAGTCAGAAATTAAACTGTATTATAAATAAA